GAATCATTTTGTAAAAGAACGTGTAAACTAAGACCTTTGCTGCATTTCGGCTAAGTACCTCTCGTATTCCTTGGTTGTTTCCTGTATATGCTTCCTGAAAACAGCTTTTTAATGAACTTGTGGTGAAAATCCTGTGATAGCAACTCTCTTAGTATAGCAGCAAATATGGGGAGTTGGAAAATGGTCATCGTACAATAATGTGTGCATTAAGTTGGCTTTCTCATTCAGTTCCTTATCAGACTGACCTCTTCTCTGCAGTTTTCCTTTCGATATCCTCATGGACGTTATTTAGCGATCCTATCGAAGACAATAATTTCATCCGGCTCATATCCATCTCATCCTTTCTTTCTTCCCAGAACTTCTGCGACTTATGGCGCTCCTCATATAGCTTCTGCTCTCGTTGCCTAGAACATCAAGAATTGATGAAAAATACCGCAAAGGACATGCAGCATTTTCTGCACCTAATCGCTTCCATTCGAATTTTTGAGGAATGAGTGGAACGCACTACGACCTCATTTTTCGTGTCCTTCCTGGTGTACTTGGTCCTATTTCGTGGTGGTGAAGTCGATTTGCACTAAAATCGTCAATTTGTTACAGAAAAAAGAAAGAAGAAAAGGGCGTACCTGTTCGTGACGATGCTGTGCTGACTCGCTCAAATGGAAGGGTCTTGGTACAGTCACAGCTTTGTGAGGGGCATTTTTCAAACGCTCCTCCATCTAAAAAAGTAATGCGTAAGTACAAAGCATGCATAAAAAAGCAAACGTCTTGACCTCTTCATGAAGTTTATGGAAGTTCGGAACTTCTGGTCGTGGATGTTTTCGCTCCTTGCTGCCCTCGACGCAGAGTATGTGGCGCACTTTTGTGCTTACGTTGGAACGGATTTCATGCTCCTAAAATCTCATTTCAATATTGATGAGATTACTATAAGCGGCTAAGTCCGACATTGTTCAGAGCCGGTGTTTTCGCATCCACAAGGAGTTTCACAGATCTTCTGTTGGCACTGCGAGCTCGGCGATAGTCCGGAAGTTGATTCGGTGGCACATAAGTGGACAATGGCACGGGCCGAGCCAGATCTGAAAGAACATACAATGATTTCTGCTTGAATCTTGATAATTGAAGAAACAAATAATTAGCAAAGCAAAAAGGAGTATACGGTCTCCTCTTTTGGGGGG